AAAAATAACAAAAGCACCACTAATAAATCTAGGATGGAGGATTATTTCGAAACATCGGAACAACTGGACCAGTTAAGTGATAATGATTCGAGGTACTCCTTAAAATCAATCTATAATTTAATTCAAGAGAAATTTGAACTACTTAATCAAGAAATTCACTCAATAAGACATGACATAAGTTGTGTACAGGAAGATAATAAGAAAATTAGAGAAGAAATGAAAACCATTATACAAAAAATTCAGCAATGTGAAGACAGAACAAAGGCCTGTGTAAACATAAAAGGTATGTTTGAGTTTGAGTTAGATAAATTACATAATGAATACACTAAAAGGAATCTTGTTATAATTAATTTTCCATTTAAAACTGATGATAAGCTGCAAGATCTCAAAATATTCATTAAGGTAGATCTTGACCTAAAAGACATAGAAATAGAAGGTTTAATTCAATTAGCTAAAAGAAGTTCAAATAATCAAATTATAAAATTAATAACAGATTCGACTAAAGATAGAAATTTAATACTTAAAAGATTCTGGACAATGAAATCAAATATAAAAAAGAGTTGGAAAAAACTATCATAAAAACAATCTTTGTACTAGATCTAAAATTAGAAGAAAACTACTAATCAATAAAATTAAATCAGAATTTTCTATTAACACCAGAGTGGTAATTATTGATGACTATTTTATAAAAGATAATGTGATATACACAATTGACATTAACAATAGTGAAATCATAATAATTAATTCTTTTTTTGGGGCAAACTACCAAATATTTGCAAAAAAGTAGTAGTAACAACAAACGAATTGTCTGGCATCCATGATAATTGTCCAAATAATAAGAATAATGATAATAAAACTGAAAAGAAATTCTACTTAAATAAATACAGCTATTGTCAAACTAATAAAATTAAGTCTGATATAAAACTAAATAACCTTGTGATTAGTTTTTGGAACTGTCAAGGCCTCAATGGAAAATTTCAAACACTAACAAAAAAGTTTATTTACTCTAATACAATTATGGGTTTAACAGAGACTTGGATAGAAAACCTACAGTTTCCAGATAAAAACTATCTAGAACAAGATAACATTTTAGTGTCCAGTAATGCTCATCGAACAAGCAAATTTGGGCATCCTTCGGGAGGCATACTTCTTATTATAAAAAGAAATTTTGGAGAAATTATATATCATAATATAACAACATACTATATACTAGTGATAATAAGAATTAATAAGCAACTCAAAACAGCTTGAAATGAAGCTTATCTAGGAGTAATTGTGATATACCTCCCTCCAGTGATTAAGAAGAAACCAATATATAATGAAATCCAGCATCAGATTGACAGATGAGCCTTTTTAATACACTTATGGTTATTCGGAAGAGACTAATTCAAGAATAGGTGAGATGTAGGACACAAAGATATATTTAAATTATGAAAATATTAGCAACAACAGACAGTCCAAGGATAAAATTTTAAACAGTGAAGGAAAAATTGTATTAGAATTTATTCAGGAAAACCAATTTGTTATTCTCAATGGCAGAATGGATGGCGATATTCCAGCAGAATACACATACATATCTCAAAATAGAAAATCAATTGTAGATTTTATTATATGTTCCCAAACTTTAATTGAACATTGTCAGACCTTAACAGTACTTGAAGATACCTCAGATCATTTTCCTGTAAGACTCATGCTGTTTACTAAGTTGGATACAGGTAGATATAAAAAAAAAAGATGACATATCAAATGTCAGGAAAAAATGTGACTTTAAAATTGATAAAACACTATGGTTAAATAGAGTTGACTCTATAACAGCCAAATTGATAAATTGGGAGAAGAAAAACAAACCGATTGATAACTACCAGAAATTAATATCCAAAATAATAGAATGTCACAATTGAAGCATTATAATCATATCTCCAAATCAAAATACAAAAATAATTGGTTTGACAACTCTTGCTACCACCACAAAATTATAAAACAAAAAAAGTTAAAAATATTCAGAGTCCAACACATCTGAAGCTCTATCAAACTATGTGAAGAGTAAAAAAATATATATAAATTTAATCAGAGCTAAAAAGAAATTATATATGAATAATATCAATAAAAAGCTAATTGAGTCAAGAGACACGAGAACCTTTTGGAAGATAATTAACAACTTTCGTAAACCTAAAACGGATTTCTCAAATCAAAAAAGAATCGCATATATTGAATGGATAAAATATTTCCAAGAATTCTCACAGGAATATTTATACAACCAAAGAAATATTTACAAGCAAGACAAAATAGTTTACCAAATCAATCAGGACAAAATAATAAGTGTAGAAGAGATGCAAAAACGAATTAAGTCATTGAAGATTAAATCAGCTCCAGGGCCAGATAATATACCAAATTCTTTTATTAAATTAGTGCCTTCTAAATTGATTCAATATTTATCTAGAATATTTAACAACATTTATTCCAGTGGTACAATCCCACCTATTTGGAAGGATGAAATTCTTACTATGATTTATAAACAAAGAAATAAATTTGACCCAGCAAATTACAGACCAATTGTCTTATTATCCAGTTTTAGAAAATTATTTACAGCAATTCTGGCAGAGAAATTTAAACAATGGATAGAGGTAAATAATTACAAAAATCCTACACAATATACATATATAGAAAATGGTGATACTCAAAAATCCCTGTTTGTTTTACTGACAACAATTCAAATACAGTTATTAAAGAAGGGACAGAAGGTTTTTGCAACATTCTTGGACTTATCGAAAGCTTATGATTCTGTTAGTATAAAGTTGCTACAAAACAAATTAAACAAACATAATGCAAGCTATTGCTTAATTAATATAATTGGTCAATTATACGGTAACTACAATGTGATTATTAAGCAAACAAACATATGCTGGAATTCGTTTACAACTAGTAGAGGACTATTACAAGGTGATCCCTTATCTCCAATTCTGTTTAATTTCTATTTATTTGACTTAAACCAGTGATTTTTAAGGGAAGATGATAGAATATATATAGATAATTTATGTATTCACTCAATTTCATATGCAGATGACATAATAATACTAGCTCCTACTACAATGGCTTTAAAAAGGAAAATCATACAGATAACTGAATATCTAGACAATTTAAAAGTAAAAGTAAATCCTGTCAAATCAGAAATTATGATTTTCAGAAATGGAAATAATCTCTTTAACATTAAGAATGAAAAAATTAAAATAGTCAATGAAAAAAAATTCTTGGGAATAATTTTTACATTTAACTTATCCTTCTGCAAACAGTATAAATATACTACAGTATAACTAAATCCAGAAATCTAATAAGCAATTTGATTATGATATGCTGTAAGGCAAAAATTAGAAACATTAAAACTCATTTTCAGCTTTTCAATACAATAATAATAAATGCATTATGCTATGCCGCCCCTATATGGAGCCTAAATAATTTTTATGACAGAAAAAATTCAGAATATATTTATTCGCAAAATCTTCCAGTTAGAATATAATACTCCAGGAAGTGCTCTGTGGCTAGAACTTAATAAATTTAAATTGAATACTATTTTGGTTAAAAGATATGTCAATTGGCTAAAAAAAACTATTAATGCAGAAGATTTGTCAACTAAACTAATGTATTTATTGTACAATAATCTAAAAATACCAACATGAAACGAAACTGGATTACACAATTATCAGGGATATTCAATGTATATGGCTTTTCTATAGAACTGGTGTTTGATTACCTTATTAATAATGACTAACGAATTAATCAACTGTTATATAAAGCTATGGAATACTCAATAATCCAGGATAATGAAGATATACAAAAAAGAAATAATTTACAGTATAATGTTATTTTTAATTATCCATTTATCAATAATTACATGCTTCTAAATCTCCTATTTAATGTAAAAAAATTTTTCATTCAATTACGACTTAATCAAAAAGGACTGAATATTGAAAATAAATATATAGATTATGATCAATCTGGATGCACTAAATATTGTAAAAAGTTGTCAAAATTTAAATTTAATTTATGGATGTAACAAGAAGAACAAACAAGATGTAAATACTAGTGAGAATTATGAATATAATCAAGAGATGGAAATTATTATGTACAGTAAATTGGACAAAATGAATATCAATGACATTTACAATTTATATAATATGTTAAAAACAATATTTTTGCGTAATAAGTATATTGTTAATTAGCCTTATTCAATCATTAAATTAGATAGACATTTAATCTAAAATTCATCGAAAAGTTGATTTATGTAAAGCTAAGAAATTGTAAAAACACCCTCTTGTAACAGGCTACTGCCTTTTATGTTAATAAATATTTGAATTGAATAATCTGATAATGTCCATTTAAAGCAGAGGAAAATGTTTGTTTTCTGCTGTTTATAGGTGTGTAATTGTGTTTATTAACTCTGCATTATGAAATTAAATAATTTATGCTGCCACTGATTGCTGATTTTTTACTGAGTTTGACAATAAGTAAATTTTTGAATTTTGAGATTCATTATATTATTGGATTAGCTTGATTTTGATTAATATGGCATTTTCGTGAAATAAATTGACCATGGTCATTGAGGTATTATCAAGCATAATAACTGACAGTCAGACAAATGTCTGTACTGCTTTAGGCATCTGAACCATCTGCCATTCTGAAAACCTAAGTCTCTGAATGGACTGGATCATCAGGACATTTTTCTGGTTAGTCAGATATGGATACATTAAATCCAGTCTCTCACTATCAGTTGTAGTCTAATTGTAGTCTGATTGTAATCTATTAATCCTGATATAAATAACATACTGAAGAGAATTTAATCAAAAAAACAGATATTTTAACCAATTTGATTATAATTGAAATAATAATGATGGTTGATGAATTATAAAAATAAATCATAAGTTTCTTTATATAAATGCAATTTTATTTATAAATTTTCTCAAAATAAATGTAATTTAAGAATGGTAAATATAGACTTGACTTACCACCACCTAATACTAATAATGGTAATTTCCAAGATAATAATAATTTCAGGCAATTTCCAATTCCTAAATTTGTCAAATTAAATGATTCCATGGGATCATTGCTCAGAGTATCGACGCCACACTGACACACGATCACATCTGGCCGAAATTTCTCATAAACTTTATTCAAAATTCTGCCAATTATAGCCGATATTATAATTTAAAGTAACATAAGTAACATTTTAAAAAATTAACAATAAATCATACAACAATTTATTATTAAATTTTAAAAAATTTAATAGTTTAAATATAATAAGTCAATTATTGAATTATAATTTGAATGGAAAATTTTTCATCATCAATTACACTGAAAGTTTGATAAATTTCATAATAAATATAAATACCCTCAAATTTTTTATTGAAACATTGATATTTTAATTTATTAAAGAAAGCATCAAGGTAAAATGTAGAAGCACACAAATTTCTATAATACAATAAAAATAACTTGCAAAATATGAGATACAATTAACCATTCTAGATAGAATGTTAATATTAAGATTTATGCAAACTTATGTAATAAAAAAAATCTCATTATTATAATATATTCAGATTCAAATCTACAGTTTTTTGAATATAGACAGGCATTTTGGAATAAGATTTATAGTAAACTTTTAGAAAGTAATTTTATTCACATTAACAGAAAATATTTCAAAATTATAATTAGATGATTTTACAAATAATTAAGACATTTTGTATATCAAAATTATTAAACATATTCAAACACTAATTATCAAAGAGTCAAATAGATTCATTGATTTCCATTGTGCACTGACCTGTTTTTAACTTACTATGCAAAATAATCAGAAGACAATGGTAAACTAAGTGATGGCCTTGTCATTCTGAGAGAGAGATTCAAGCACAGATCACATCTTCAAAAATTTTTATAAAAGTAATCTAGCCAGATATATCAGATATTATTCCTTATCAAGTAGCAAACCCACTATGCAAAAGCTGTAATAACCATGAGTAAAGATTTACTAGTTCCAATAAAATGAAAAAAGTGTATTACACAAAATGTTGCTGAATAATTTGAATATTTCTTCTATAATTTTAAAAAGTTTAATAAGCGTTTTTAAAAACTCATTTAACAGCTGTAGCTATAAAAAATAATAACAAAAAGCTAAATTAATGCTTAAGCTTTTTATTTGTCTAGAAAATTACTTTCTTCTAATGATTAATTTATTTATCACAATCTGTTGATGAGTTCAAAAAACTGTTATTTTTTATTTTACCTTCAATACCAACAGCTTTCAAAACCCCACGTGTCATTAAAGCATAACATTTTCTCTTCTGGTTGGCTAGATTTATGGATCAAAGTAGTCAATTCCAACAAATTGAAATGGTCCAAATTCATTTGTCTGTAACTCAGCAAAGCTATCCACAGGTTGTTGCATTAATCTCTTCCTCTTCTTTTGACATTCCATGCATTCCTTGATTTGACATGCTTTCTTGTCTAACTCAGGGATGTAATAATTCTCACTTATGATAGCTTTATTGAATTGCTTTTTGTCATATAGACTATGCAAATGGTCAAATTGGATCAAAAAATGCTATAAGTAAATTCTTAGACACACACACAGTGGTGGATAAAACTTTAAAGACAAGCAAAAATTCCACCTAAACAAATAACTTAATTAAAATTATTAGTTCATATGCTATAAAAAGTAAATTAATAGATTTTTACAATAATGAAAGAATAGTGTTGGAATAGTTCTTCCAAAAAGTAGAAAACCAGGTATTAATTCATAAGCCTTTATGTCCTTATTTTCTACAGTTTGTTATATAAATGTCTACTAGGACATATATTATTACTAGGATTGTACTATTATCATCTTATTACTAGGATCTTATTACTATTATTGTACTGGTGCTCGGTTTCTGCAATTGAGAAAAACTTATTCAGAGAAAAACAATTTTTATTTTTCACCTGTACACACTTTATTTGTGTTTTGGACATTCAGGTCCCACTTCAGCAGGTTTACAAAAATACGGTGCTAAAAACAAAATTTATAAAAATTTACAACAATACAATATATTAAGAGTACCTGACAATAATATATAGATTTTAGCACAATTTACAATTTCTCTTTTGTTAATTACTCCGATATGTAAATATATACACAGAAGAATTCCTATCATAATACCACAATACCTGTATAAAGTTAAAACATGCATTTATAAAATTATAATGTTTAAAAGGTTTAAAAGTATTTTTTACTCACATAACTGTGCCTGCAACAGTTGAATAACATTTTTACTTAGCTTACTCCCTTTATAAACATTCCAGTCTATTTCTCCTGTTATCGATAATACTGTTCCATGATTGGTGGATTTCTCTACCCAAGTTATTATTTATTCTATTGTTTTGTCTTTTTATGTAAATATATTCGTATAACTGTCTTTTAAAATTATTTCTTTCCTTTTTCTTTATTTTAATTAATTGTATCTAAAGCTATTTCACATCCTTCTTTATTACAATGTTCTGCTACTGCCAAATTTGCATAATTTCCTTTTATGGCTCTAATATGTTCCTTTATACAGTCGACCCCCCTATAACACTGTTGATAATTCCGTTTTATATGAATTCCATGTTGTACAAGTCACTTAGATTTTACAAATATATGTGCCAGGTTGTGAACGGCTCACATATTTGTAAAATCTAAGTGACTCATACAACATGGAATTCATATAAAACGAAATTATCAACAGTGTTATAGGAGGTCTACTGTATGTATTTTTAATTTTCTTTCTTTTTGTCTCTCCTATATGCGTTCTTCTTTGTCCACAACTGCAATCAAATGAATATATTACCTCTTTTTCTTCTGTTATTTCTNACTCTATACAGTTCAAAGATCAAAGTATCATAAAATCATCAGGACAACTTAAAAGAAAGAAATTGAAAAGAGAACCTCCCCTAACTAAACAACATAAAACTGCAAGATTAACTTATGCTTGAGATCACATGTCATAGGATACAGAATGGCAACAGTTTAATTAAATTTTCACCAAACTCCAAATAATAATCATTATGTTTTGAGTTGCTATAACTTTAACAGAATACTGACGATTAAATATTGAACTGTTATTTGAAAATAACTATACAAATATAATTTGAATAGTAACATTCTGAAATGGAATTTGAATGAACAAAATAATGAAGTTGGATCTGTAAACTGAGATACACAATAAGAGGTATGAATAATATCAACAAAAAACTAAATAAAAACATTAAAGAATTAGTTTATTAGAGTTGGTTAATTGATTTTGTAACATACAACATTACTACATTAGATTAGGATTCGTAAGAAAGCGGATTCCTAGAGAATGGAACGTATCTCTATCTTATAGGGGGGTCGACTGTACATTAATTTTACAAACCTTTTTTCTTTATCAAATTGTTTTTTCCCTGTATATCAATAGCTATCTTCTGTATCCATTTATTTAGCAGTGTCTTTGGGTAATCGTTTAATATGAACATTTTTACTATTTGCTCTATTTCCGTTTTTTTATTTTCTAATTCACTTCTCCTATTTTTTATTTTACTTATATACATTTTAAATATGTTAAATTTTATAGTTTTAGGTACATTTGACTTATAATTGAGGACCTTAGATATAGCATTTTTTTTATATATTAATTTATCTTCTTTTTTTGTATTGTTTTGTCCAAATAATTAATACTATTTTGTTTTTCTGTTTCTAGTTGAAACTGGATATTTGCTTTAATTTAGTTTGCTTGTTCTAGTATTAACTCCTCATTCATTTTTTTTTACTGTCAAATATAATAATACAGTCATCCACATACCTATTGTAAAATTTGATTCCATGTATATTTCTAATCTTTTCATCAATCTGTATTATAAATAGTTCTACCAATCTTTGACCTATGCATGTTCCCATTGATATTCCATCAGTTTGGGTGTTATATTTTTCATCGAACTAGAAATAATTATTTTCTATTACCAATAAGCATAATTTAATTATCCAATGTGGGACATTTATTCTTAATAACAAATTTTTGATATCTACTAGGATACATATTTTTTATATCTAATGACAATAATTTCTTGTTGTTATTAATAATTATTTTATCATTTTTTAATCTGTTTAACAATTTTTCTACATTTTTAAGGCTATATTTTGATATTTCTAATGAATTTAACTTATTTTAAAAATTTTTTTAATTATAATAAATGTAGTTTTTAACATCTATTAAGGGTCTATACTTAATTGGTTCCTTATGTGTTTTCACTCTGATATTAAATTTTGGTGTTCTGTTATCTTCTGTTTTGACTTTTTTAATGTTTTCATCTGTTATTAATTGTTGTTTTTTCAATTTTTCTAATTCCGTGTCCATTAACATCAACGTTTGCTGTTGCAGGCACAGTTATGTGAGTAAAAAATACTTTTAAACCTTTTAAACATTATAATTTTTATAAATGCATGTTTTAACTTTATACAGGTATTGTGGTATTATGATAGGAATTCTTCTGTGTATATATTTACATATCGGAGTAATTAACAAAAGAGAAATTGTAAATTGTGCTAAAATCTATATATTATTGTTGGGTACTCTTAATATATTGTATTGTTGTAAATTTTTATAAATTTTGTTTTTAGCACCGTATTTTTGTAAGCCTGCTGAAGTGGGACCTGAATGTCCAAAACACAAATAAAGTGTGTACAGGTGAAAAATAAAAATTGTTTTTCTCTGAATAAGTTTTCCTCAATTGCAGAAACCAAGCACCAGTACAATAAATCCTATTAATAAGATATGTTNTATACGTGTTTTGGAAATGTTGAGTCAAATTAGTCTAGAATCGGTTAATTTTATAGAAGAAAACCTTTCGAACAGCCTTAGTCCGTAAAGTTCCCACCTATCAGGCTGCGATTGGCTCATGTATTTAATCATTCCTACAACGTAATTTTCGGTTAGCGTGGAACGTATCTAAGCGTTATAGGGGGGTCTACTGTAGTTAGATACATAGGTTACCCTATTTTTTCAAATAAAAAGTAGTCATTGACTTTTTCTGACTGAGAAGATAATTTTTAGAAAGTTTGGTATTTGTGTAAGTGTATTTGCTTATAATGTCTTCAAATACATAAAAAACAGATAGACACAACTTTCTTCTTTA